TGATGGGGCAGTAAGCTGTGTATCTCCTTTGTGTATCTCCTTTATCGTTAAAATTATGTACTAATACAACGGGACAAGCGAATCGACCCAAGGATGAAAGGAAATGATCCTTTCGGTACCATCTGGTAAATTTGTGGCTTCGATCTCCCTAGCTTGTTTGGATTGTAGATCACAGCAGATGAAAACCTTTTGTAGAGCTCTTGTACGGTCAGCTATTGCTAATATGATACTGCGTCGTTCATCTCGGAAACCCAAATTATATATTTTAGCATGATGAAAATCAACATGTTTCAATTGCCCCGAGAGATGATGAAAAATTCGAGTCCAAGATATCTTCTTCTTGTTTAATACCCATATCTCCAAAGTATATGTTACGATACACAACTGTCCTTCTAAAATGGTCAATTCTGAGTCATCTTCACAGTTGGTATAGTTTATCTCTCTCTTTACCGGATGGGGTATCTGGTAATACCTTTGAGTGAAAAGATCGAAACACCTTATTCCTGTAAACAACAAAGGATTCATCCAATGGAAGGAGTTGTCAGCCAAGATAGCAGGTCGGGGGCTCATACAAAATTGATTCAACTGCCATGGCGGGCTCGGTATGTTCACCCAGGCATCCGTTTTCAAACTGTATAGTAGAGCTTTTTCGACATTTCGATCATTCCTCTCCATACAAATGGCTAAAACCTTATAATCATCGGATACACTGTCATAACCGAATGCAACTTCACGTTTCAATAAATTATTCATCGGGGAATTGAGTGGTGGTATCAATCTAGTGGCTCGAGTCGCAGGGTTGTAGAGAAACAGGCCTAGATTATTGTTGTAAGCAGATTTGTAAAAGGGTTGTAATGTTATTGAATGAAAACAAACTAGGCCATTGCATGAGCCTAAAACACCTCCCATGGTGCGAGGCTTTATGATGTCTTTCGGATAAGCAAGTTCCGAAGCATGGTAATAGGGATGCTGCGATGTAGCTCTAAAAGAGTAGACTTTGGATTTCCAGCACTCGAAGAGGAAATGCGTTTCCAGGTTTGCTTTGAGGGATCGACTGCGATGCAACTTCATGAACTTTGGATCTTTGGTAAGCATATACCACGATGAAGAGACACATGCAGATCGCAGCAGAGACTTAGCGGGTAGCCATGAGAGTATCTCAGTGATTAGTTCAAACGGAAGGTAGCAACAATCGGTCTTCGCTTTATTCTCCATCCTCAGTATGCTTTAATTTAACAACTACACTACGAATTGTTGGTGCTTAATTGCTTATATAGGGAGATAAACAAAGATCAATCATACCTTTTACAATTCCAATTAGGATTAGGATTAGGATTAGGATAGTTATTGCGGTTGTATTAGGGATATTTACTTCTTACAAGATCCTTGGTCTCCAAGGTTAATTTAAACAACCTTGATTCCCAAGGATGTGTAATACACTAATACTTGGTCTTCAAGACATTATATGGTCGCCAAAAATTAAAAAATAATATTTTTTTTTTTATTTTTTTGTTATGATAACCATTAACCAATGAGAGAAGATGTATTTCCTAAACTAAACGTTAGATATTTTAATAGATATTTAAAAAGATTTGATTGAAAAGATAAACCAAATTATTATGGGATACATGATGCATCATTTAGTAACAAAAGTATTGACCAATTTACTTTGAATAATCTCAATTGTAAAAAATTTGCACAAAAAAAAAATAAAAAAATAAAAAAAAAATCCCTTAAAATATCCTTTTAAATTAGGAAAAATATACTTTATTAATCCCAAGTTTGACCAATTTACTTTGAATAATCTCAACTATCGATTATTTTGCAATAATCCCAACTTTCACCTTCGTTTTCTTCTATCAACCTTGAAAACCAGTTACCTGCTGAAGATGTTTTTTTAATAAAATATAAAAATGTCACGTGTCACGAGATACATCCCTTGAAGGCTTGAACAGATTCCTCAAAATTGACATCTTGCCTCATAGCTGCAGTCAATTTTTTTATCGGAAAACGAAGATTTATAAATTAATTAAAACCAAATCCACAAGCATAAAAAAAAAAAAAAAAGCAGATCAACAACAAAAGCTACAAATTTCAACATGACAAAGCACTTGAATTAGTCTTATTCGTCCAAAAGCAAGAACAACAACGCCTCCTACTGTAAAACAAGTCCACCAGTATCTGATATGCTCTCCCTAAGGCCTTCCTCAAATGCATCCATGGCACAATGCGTAGCCCCAGTATGGATCTTTTCTTCCTCCTCCATGCTTAAGCATGATTAGCTGAACCTAAAGTTGCCATCTTTCTTCAGGAACTCTCCTATATCAGCAAGAATTAGCGTTAAGAAAGCTATGTAGCCCTGTATGAATTGAACAAAATTCCCTTCTTGAATCAAAAACATCTCGGCAACTGTTACATGAAAACTGCCACTTGCAAGGTGATGACCAAAACCCAGAAACTCGACATTTTGAAGGCCTGTAATTAAAATTCCCTTCTAGATTCATTATTACAATTAAAATTACTACTAAAAATTCAACAATTAACAAGATTATAAGAAGTCTTTTTTCATTGCAAATATGCAATTAGACTTGTTAATTTATTAAATACTTGATAGCAATTTTTTTAAAAAAAAAGCTTGTATCTCATCATTTTATCCTGACAATAGTTACATCCTTGCTCAATACAATAACCCTATTATCCTTCAAAAAATAAATACTCGTAAAAAAATAAAAATAAATAAATAAAAAATAAATAATAATAATAATAATAATAATAATAATAATAATAATAATAATAATAATAATAATTCATCAAATTAACAACAACAACAAGAAGCATAATTTAATGACAAAAACGAGGTAAATAAAGATAATGGATGTTTATCACATCAATTCATGTTTATAATTATCAAAAATCTCATCAAAACATCCCTTCAAAAAAAATCATAACAGTTGAAAAAATATTTAGAAATTAGATAAATCATAGAATTAATTTGTTTAATACATCATATAAACAAAATATACAAATAAAAAAAAATGAAGCTGAGAATAGGTGAATACCTGAAACCTCATGACTTCATTAGCCATGCTTGCCTTCTTCGCTTCTTCAGTAGCAGAAATTAGAGACAGAAAAACTAAGGAAGATGATACTGAGTATAACTTTTTGGGCCTAGCCCAATTGCTACATTTTATCACGGCCCAATATATTTTCTAACTGGGCCTTATGTTGGGCACGTAATTCAAGTCAGTATTGTTGTATAATTGTATCAATGGTTCAACTGTTAACCAACCCTGACCTAAACTGAAGAGTATTGTTTGAACTGAAACTAACCAAACCCCGAATGGTTCATAACTGAAAATTCAATGGGAAAAAAATTAATTACCACTTAAGTTAGTTGAAACTGAATTAATTTATAAATTGAAATTAACTTAACTGAACTGAATTATTTGGCCTTGGCATTGATTATTTTACATTCTCAACCCTTAAATGTTTCACCTTGTTCCCTTATGAAAAGTAGCAACATGTGCCAATTGCATGTGTGAGCTTGTTTTCTTTCTTTTGGTGTAGAGAAAATTTGAGAAAGTTGTGTCCCAAGTACCAACTAATGTCGTTCCATATGAACTCATGAATGATCTTGCATATTAATTTATCTTGCTATGTAACAATACAAATACTTTGATCATTTATATATTTGATTTCAGATTAGTAAAAATTATTAAAGTTTATATCTATCAAGATTTTTTTATATAACGCATCTCATATAACAATACGGCTAGTCAAACTCGAAATATTTTAATCTACTCGTCATAGTCGTCAATACAGCACCAATACACTAGAAGTCCAGAACATCCACTAGTTTAAAGCGAGTGAGTCTGGGCGCATAGCATTTATGGCCGAGTTATGTAAATAGGAGGGTAAGGAAGTAATTTCCGCTGATTCAATTTTTGCTTCTAGAATAAGTTGACTCTCTAGTGGTACATTATAATGCACCATTATGCATGTATAATGTACCATTAAAGTAAAATTTGTCTGAATAGTACGTTTTGTGGACTATTACGAGTGTAGTGGTACTTTTTACCATCCTATAACTTTCAATTTCTTGAAAAAGCTGACTCTCTAAGGGTACATATAATGTACCATTATGCATGAATAATGTACCACTAAAATATAAGTTATCTGAATACTACTTTTTAATTGCAAAATTGTCATCCTATATGCTTAGAAATCAATAGGCGCTATGAGCCAAGACTTAACCGTTTAACGCACTCATAAGTTCACGTGTTTCACTCAAAGAGCTAACAGGCCTAACACCAAAGACCTCTGAAATTCTGAGCAAAAAAAAAAAAAAAAAAAAAAAAAGACAGAGAGAGAAAAAAACACACACACAGCTTACCTTCAGAGCCCTGAAATTATCTCTAAATTGCCAAATATTACATGATATAATCAATTAAGCAAAGAATGATACCTATTTTTGCATTAATTCCATACATTCTTCTTTTCAGTTCTAAAATTTGCTCTGCAATTGACAGTATTACACCAACACAATTCCTAAAAGACTCAGAATCAATACTTTCTAAAAATAGCATTTTCAAGCTAGGATTTTTCAGCCCTCAAAACTCTTCCAATCGTTATGTTGGAATCTTATATAATCACCCTTTTGAAATGGAAGTTGTATCTTGTATGGGTAGCTAACAGGAACAATCCCCTCACTGATACTTCTATTGTACTTAAGATATCACTCGACGAAAATCTGCAAGTCTCTGATGCAAAAATATCAGACTGTTTGGTCATCCAATGTCACTCATCCTACAGCTGGTTTCGTAGCAGCTCAACTTCAAGATTCCGGGAACATTTTTATCCAAGGATTTCCGAACAACACGAGTCGTGGCAATGGGACGATCATATGGCAGAGTTTTCAGTATCCTGCAGACTCAGTCTTACCAAATATGATGTTCATTCTTAACAATAATCCTGAATTCAGGAAAGTCGTGCAGGCCTGGAAAAGTCCTTCAGATCCATCAGTTGGAAGGTACTCAGTTGGTACTAACTCTAGGTTTTTTCAGATTATCATATGGGATGGGGATCGCCCTTATTGGCGAAGTGGACCTTGGAATGGAAACATTTTCATGGGAACAAGATATCATAATACTGGTTATGGTAATATACTCATTAACACCGGGTCATTCGCACAGGAGGAAGTAAGAGGGATGCTTTCTCTGGTTTTTACAGGTGCGAATGAGACTTTGTTGCCTCGTTATGTAATAATTGATCAAGGGATATTAGCTGAAAGTGGTGGGATGATAGCAAGAAGAACAGGGGAATTGCGTGGCATGCCCCGGAAAATATATGTGACACCTATGGTATGTGTGGAGAATTTGGAAACTGCAACCCGCAGACTAAACCTATGTGCAGCTGCTTAAAAGGGTTTGTGCCAAAGAACGCGGAGGAATGGAGGAGAGGAAACTGGACAAGTGGGTGTGTGAGAAGAAAGAAGCTGCAATGTGGGGTTCAAGGGGGAAAACAAGATGGGTTTTTGAGGTTAAAGATGATGAAAGTGCCAGTTAATGCTGATATTGCTGAATGGTTTGTGGGTCTGAATCTTGATCAGTGCAGAACAACCTGCCTGGCAAACTGCTCTTGTTTGGCTTATACACATGATACTGGAACTGGATGTATGAGATGGAGCGAGAACTTGATTGACATAGAGGACCTTTCACCTGGAGGGGTGGACCTATTCATTCGGCTTGAACAATCAGAGCTAAGTAAGTTAATCATACCTCTTTGAAATTTTGAATGCTAGACACTTTAGGAGATATTATAGGCTTCTGAATTCTCATCTTCCCACCTAGTAAAAAAGATCATGTTAGTATGCATATGTAAAATAATTTCTTCTGCTTTGAAGGTACTAGTAAGAGATATGACTTTAGGAACAGCAGTGATTGCCACTATCATATACTTCCTGTTCAAATGGAGAGCTCGGAAAAAGGGTAAACACACATCGGATAGAAATAGAAAATCTAAATCAATACCAGAGAAAAAAGCTGGGAAAGCAACAGATTCATATCTATTCAAAGACAAAACCCAAGTAATGATTGAAGACTTAAAAGTCTCAAAACTTGAAGATCTGATAATAGCAACAGACGGCTTTAGTGAGAGTAACTTGCTCGGGAAGGGTGGTTTTGGCCAAGGTAAGAATGAGTTCAATTCAAACATGATCTTACGTAGTCTAAAATGCAACAAAACGTAGCAGGAGATAATATGATGTTTGTTTACAGGGTAAACTAGAAAATGGTCAAGAAATAGCAGTAAAAAGGCTTTCAAGAGCATCTGGGCAAGGTGTAGAAGAATTCATCAACGAAGTTGAATTCATCTAAAAACTTCAGCAATTTCAGATTTCTAATAAAGCTGTAATCAAGCGAAACAGGAACATCATTATAAAACGGAGGGAATAGTACATGTTAAAAGAAAAAATAAAACAAAAACACTCAAAATTACATTAATTATACTAGTTCGTATGTGATATATTGCCTTTGGATTCTAACACCTTATTGCAGCTAGATTGATGGGGCAGTAAGCTGTGTATCTCCTTTGTGTATCTCCTTTATCGTTAAAATTATGTACTAATACAACGGGACAAGCGAATCGACCCAAGGATGAAAGGAAATGATCCTTTCGGTACCATCTGGTAAATTTGTGGCTTCGATCTCCCTAGCTTGTTTGGATTGTAGATCACAGCAGATGAAAACCTTTTGTAGAGCTCTTGTACGGTCAGCTATTGCTAATATGATACTGCGTCGTTCATCTCGGAAACCCAAATTATATATTTTAGCATGATGAAAATCAACATGTTTCAATTGCCCCGAGAGATGATGAAAAATTCGAGTCCAAGATATCTTCTTCTTGTTTAATACCCATATCTCCAAAGTATATGTTACGATACACAACTGTCCTTCTAAAATGGTCAATTCTGAGTCATCTTCACAGTTGGTATAGTTTATCTCTCTCTTTACCGGATGGGGTATCTGGTAATACCTTTGAGTGAAAAGATCGAAACACCTTATTCCTGTAAACAACAAAGGATTCATCCAATGGAAGGAGTTGTCAGCCAAGATAGCAGGTCGGGGGCTCATACAAAATTGATTCAACTGCCATGGCGGGCTCGGTATGTTCACCCAGGCATCCGTTTTCAAACTGTATAGTAGAGCTTTTTCGACATTTCGATCATTCCTCTCCATACAAATGGCTAAAACCTTATAATCATCGGATACACTGTCATAACCGAATGCAACTTCACGTTTCAATAAATTATTCATCGGGGAATTGAGTGGTGGTATCAATCTAGTGGCTCGAGTCGCAGGGTTGTAGAGAAACAGGCCTAGATTATTGTTGTAAGCAGATTTGTAAAAGGGTTGTAATGTTATTGAATGAAAACAAACTAGGCCATTGCATGAGCCTAAAACACCTCCCATGGTGCGAGGCTTTATGATGTCTTTCGGATAAGCAAGTTCCGAAGCATGGTAATAGGGATGCTGCGATGTAGCTCTAAAAGAGTAGACTTTGGATTTCCAGCACTCGAAGAGGAAATGCGTTTCCAGGTTTGCTTTGAGGGATCGACTGCGATGCAACTTCATGAACTTTGGATCTTTGGTAAGCATATACCACGATGAAGAGACACATGCAGATCGCAGCAGAGACTTAGCGGGTAGCCATGAGAGTATCTCAGTGATTAGTTCAAACGGAAGGTAGCAACAATCGGTCTTCGCTTTCTTCTCCATCCTCAGTATGCTTTAATTTAACAACTACACTACGAATTGTTGGTGCTTAATTGCTTATATAGGGAGATAAACAAAGATCAATCATACCTTTTACAATTCCAATTAGGATTAGGATAGTTATTGCGGTTGTATTAGGGATATTTACTTCTTACAAGATCCTTGGTCTCCAAGGTTAATTTAAACAACCTTGATTCCCAAGGATGTGTAATACACTAATACTTGGTCTTCAAGACATTATATGGTCGCCAAAAATTAAAAAATAATATTTTTTTTTTTATTTTTTTTGTTATGATAACCATTAACCAATGAGAGAAGATGTATTTCCTAAACTAAACGTTAGATATTTTAATAGATATTTAAAAAGATTTGATTGAAAAGATAAACCAAATTATTATGGGATACATGATGCATCATTTAGTAACAAAAGTATTGACCAATTTACTTTGAATAATCTCAATTGTAAAAAATTTGCACAAAAAAAAAAAAAATAAAAAAAAAAAAATCCCTTAAAATATCCTTTTAAATTAGGAAAAATATACTTTATTAATCCCAAGTTTGACCAATTTACTTTGAATAATCTCAACTATCGATTATTTTGCAATAATCCCAACTTTCACCTTCGTTTTCTTCTATCAACCTTGAAAACCAGTTACCTGCTGAAGATGTTTTTTTTAATAAAATATAAAAATGTCACGTGTCACGAGATACATCCCTTGAAGGCTTGAACAGATTCCTCAAAATTGACATCTTGCCTCATAGCTGCAGTCTTTTTTTTTATCGGAAAACGAAGATTTATAAATTAATTAAAACCAAATCCACAAGCATAAAAAAAAAAAAAAAAAAAAAAAAAAAAAAAGCAGATCAACAACAAAAGCTACAAATTTCAACATGACAAAGCACTTGAATTAGTCTTATTCGTCCAAAAGCAAGAACAACAGCGCCTCCTACTGTAAAACAAGTCCACCAGTATCTGATATGCTCTCCCTAAGGCCTTCCTCAAATGCATCCATGGCACAATGCGTAGCCCCAGTATGGATCTTTTCTTCCTCCTCCATGCTTAAGCATGATTAGCTGAACCTAAAGTTGCCATCTTTCTTCAGGAACTCTCCTATATCAGCAAGAATTAGCGTTAAGAAAGCTATGTAGCCCTGTATGAATTGAACAAAATTCCCTTCTTGAATCAAAAACATCTCGGCAACTGTTACATGAAAACTGCCACTTGCAAGGTGATGACCAAAACCCAGAAACTCGACATTTTGAAGGCCTGTAATTAAAATTCCCTTCTAGATTCATTATTACAATTAAAATTACTACTAAAAATTCAACAATTAACAAGATTATAAGAAGTCTTTTTTCATTGCAAATATGCAATTAGACTTGTTAATTTATTAAATACTTGATAGCAATTTTTTTTAAAAAAAAGCTTGTATCTCATCATTTTATCCTGACAATAGTTACATCCTTGCTCAATACAATAGCCCTATTATCCTTCAAAAAATAAATACTCGTAAAAAAATAAAAATAAATAAATAAAAAATAAATAATAATAATAATAATAATAATAATAATAATAATAATAATAATTCATCAAATTAACAACAACAACAAGAAGCATAATTTAATGACAAAACGAGGTAAATAAAGATAATGGATGTTTATCACATCAATTCATGTTTATAATTATCAAAAATCTCATCAAAACATCCCTTCAAAAAAAATCATAACAGTTGAAAAAATATTTAGAAATTAGATAAATCATAGAATTAATTTGTTTAATACATCATATAAACAAAATATACAAATAAAAAAAAATGAAGCTGAGAATAGGTGAATACCTGAAACCTCATGACTTCATTAGCCATGCTTGCCTTCTTCGCTTCTTCAGTAGCAGAAATTAGAGACAGAAAAACTAAGGAAGATGATACTGAGTATAACTTTTTGGGCCTAGCCCAATTGCTACATTTTATCACGGCCCAATATATTTTCTAACTGGGCCTTATGTTGGGCACGTAATTCAAGTCAGTATTGTTGTATAATTGTATCAATGGTTCAACTGTTAACCAACCCTGACCTAAACTGAAGAGTATTGTTTGAACTGAAACTAACCAAACCCCGAATGGTTCATAACTGAAAATTCAATGGGAAAAAAATTAATTACCACTTAAGTTAGTTGAAACTGAATTAATTTATAAATTGAAATTAACTTAACTGAACTGAATTGTTTGGCCTTGGCATTGATTATTTTACATTCTCAACCCTTAAATGTTTCACCTTGTTCCCTTATGAAAAGTAGCAACATGTGCCAATTGCATGTGTGAGCTTGTTTTCTTTCTTTTGGTGTAGAGAAAATTTGAGAAAGTTGTGTCCCAAGTACCAACTAATGTCCTTCCATATGAACTCATGAATGATCTTGCATATTAATTTATCTTGCTATGTAACAATACAAATACTTTGATCATTTATATATTTGATTTCAGATTAGTAAAAATTATTAAAGTTTATATATATCAAGATTTTTTTATATAACGCATCTCATATAACAATACGGCTAGTCAAACTCGAAATATTTTAATCTACTCGTCATAGTCGTCAATACAGCACCAATACACTAGAAGTCCAGAACATCCACTAGTTTAAAGCGAGTGAGTCTGGGCGCATAGCATTTATGGGCGAGTTATGTAAATAGGAGGGTAAGGAAGTAATTTCCGCTGATTCAATTTTTGCTTCTAGAATAAGTTGACTCTCTAGTGGTACATTATAATGCACCATTATGCATGTATAATGTACCATTAAAGTAAAATTTGTCTGAATAGTACGTTTTGTGGACTATTACGAGTGTAGTGGTACTTTTTACCATCCTATAACTTTCAATTTCTTGAAAAAGCTGACTCTCTAAGGGTACATATAATGTACCATTATGCATGAATAATGTACCACTGAAATATAAGTTATCTGAATACTACTTTTTAATTGCAAAATTGTCATCCTATATGCTTAGAAATCAATAGGCGCTATGAGCCAAGACTTAACCGTTTAAAGCACTCATAAGTTCACGTGTTTCACTCAAAGAGCTAACAGGCCTAACACCAAAGACCTCTGAAATTCTGAGCAAAAAAAAAAAAAAAAAAAAAAAAAAAAAAAAAAAGAGAGAGAGAAAAACACACACACACAAAGCTTACCTTCAGAGCCCTGAAATTATCTCTAAATTGCCAAATATTACATGATATAATCAATTAAGCAAAGAATGATACCTATTTTTGCATTAATTCCATACATTCTTCTTTTCAGTTCTAAAATTTGCTCTGCAATTGACAGTATTACACCAACACAATTCCTAAAAGACTCAGAATCAATACTTTCTAAAAATAGCATTTTCAAGCTAGGATTTTTCAGCCCTCAAAACTCTTCCAATCGTTATGTTGGAATCTGATATAATCACCCTTTTGAAATGGAAGTTGTATCTTGTATGGGTAGCTAACAGGAACAATCCCCTCACTGATACTTCTATTGTACTTAAGATATCACTCGACGAAAATCTGCAAGTCTCTGATGCAAAAATATCAGACTGTTTGGTCATCCAATGTCACTCATCCTACAGCTGGTTTCGTAGCAGCTCAACTTCAAGATTCCGGGAACATTTTTATCCAAGGATTTCCGAACAACACGAGTCGTGGCAATGGGACGATCATATGGCAGAGTTTTCAGTATCCTGCAGACTCAGTCTTACCAAGTATGAAGTTCATTCTTAACAATAATCCTGAATTCAGGAAAGTCGTGCAGGCCTGGAAAAGTCCTTCAGATCCATCAGTTGGAAGGTACTCAGTTGGTACTAACTCTAGGTTTTTTCAGATTATCATATGGGATGGGGATCGCCCTTATTGGCGAAGTGGACCTTGGAATGGAAACATTTTCATGGGAACAAGATATTATAATACTGGTTATGGTAATATACTCATTAACACCGGGTCATTCGCACAGGAGGAAGTAAGAGGGATGCTTTCTCTGGTTTTTACAGGTGCGAATGAGACTTTGTTGCCTCGTTATGTAATAATTGATCAAGGGATATTAGCTGAAAGTGGTGGGATGATAGCAAGAAGAACAGGGGAATTGCGTGGCATGCCCCGGAAAATATATGTGACACCTATGGTATGTGTGGAGAATTTGGAAACTGCAACCCGCAGACTAAACCTATGTGCAGCTGCTTAAAAGGGTTTGTGCCAAAGATCGCGGAGGAATGGAGGAGAGGAAACTGGACAAGTGGGTGTGTGAGAAGAAAGAAGCTGCAATGTGGGGTTCAAGGGGGAAAACAAGATGGGTTTTTGAGGTTAAAGATGATGAAAGTGCCAGTTAATGCTGATATTGCTGAATGGTTTGTGGGTCTGAATCCTGATCAGTGCAGAACAACCTGCCTGGCAAACTGCTCTTGTTTGGCTTATACACATGATACTGGAACTGGATGTATGAGATGGAGCGAGAACTTGATTGACATAGAGGACCTTTCACCTGGAGGGGTGGACCTATTCATTCGGCTTGAACAATCAGAGCTAAGTAAGTTAATCATACCTCTTTGAAATTTTGAATGCTAGACACTTTAGGAGATATTATAGGCTTCTGAATTCTCATCTTCCCACCTAGTAAAAAAGATCATGTTAGTATGCATATGTAAAATAATTTCTTCTGTTTTGAAGGTACTAGTAAGAGATATGACTTTAGGAACAGCAGTGATTGCCACTATCATATACTTCCTGTTCAAATGGAGAGCTCGGAAAAAGGGTAAACACACATCGGATAGAAATAGAAAATCTAAATCAATACCAGAGAAAAAAGCTGGGAAAGCAACAGATTCATATCTATTCAAAGACAAAACCCAAGTAATGATTGAAGACTTAAAAGTCTCAAAACTTGAAGATCTGATAATAGCAACAGACGGCTTTAGTGAGAGTAACTTGCTCGGGAAGGGTGGTTTTGGCCAAGGTAAGAATGAGTTCAATTCAAACATGATCTTACGTAGTCTAAAATGCAACAAAACGTAGCAGGAGATAATATGATGTTTGTTTACAGGGTAAACTAGAAAATGGTCAAGAAATAGCAGTAAAAAGGCTTTCAAGAGCATCTGGGCAAGGTGTAGAAGAATTCATCAACGAAGTTGAATTCATCTAAAAACTTCAGCAATTTCAGATTTCTAATAAAGCTGTAATCAAGCGAAACAGGAACATCATTATAAAACGGAGGGAATAGTACATGTTAAAAGAAAAAATAAAACAAAAACACTCAAAATTACATTAATTATACTAGTTCGTATGTGATATATTGCCTTTGGATTCTAACACCTTATTGCAGCTAGATTGATGGGGCAGTAAGCTGTGTATCTCCTTTGTGTATCTCCTTTATCGTTAAAATTATGTACTAATACAACGGGACAAGCGAATCGACCCAAGGATGAAAGGAAATGATCCTTTCGGTACCATCTGGTAAATTTGTGGCTTCGATCTCCCTAGCTTGTTTGGATTGTAGATCACAGCAGATGAAAACCTTTTGTAGAGCTCTTGTACGGTCAGCTATTGCTAATATGATACTGCGTCGTTCATCTCGGAAACCCAAATTATATATTTTAGCATGATGAAAATCAACATGTTTCAATTGCCCCGAGAGATGATGAAAAATTCGAGTCCAAGATATCTTCTTCTTGTTTAATACCCATATCTCCAAAGTATATGTTACGATACACAACTGTCCTTCTAAAATGGTCAATTCTGAGTCATCTTCACAGTTGGTATAGTTTATCTCTCTCTTTACCGGATGGGGTATCTGGTAATACCTTTGAGTGAAAAGATCGAAACACCTTATTCCTGTAAACAACAAAGGATTCATCCAATGGAAGGAGTTGTCAGCCAAGATAGCAGGTCGGGGGCTCATACAAAATTGATTCAACTGCCATGGCGGGCTCGGTATGTTCACCCAGGCATCCGTTTTCAAACTGTATAGTAGAGCTTTTTCGACATTTCGATCATTCCTCTCCATACAAATGGCTAAAACCTTATAATCATCGGATACACTGTCATAACCGAATGCAACTTCACGTTTCAATAAATTATTCATCGGGGAATTGAGTGGTGGTATCAATCTAGTGGCTCGAGTCGCAGGGTTGTAGAGAAACAGGCCTAGATTATTGTTGTAAGCAGATTTGTAAAAGGGTTGTAATGTTATTGAATGAAAACAAACTAGGCCATTGCATGAGCCTAAAACACCTCCCATGGTGCGAGGCTTTATGATGTCTTTCGGATAAGCAAGTTCCGAAGCATGGTAATAGGGATGCTGCGATGTAGCTCTAAAAGAGTAGACTTTGGATTTCCAGCACTCGAAGAGGAAATGCGTTTCCAGGTTTGCTTTGAGGGATCGACTGCGATGCAACTTCATGAACTTTGGATCTTTGGTAAGCATATACCACGATGAAGAGACACATGCAGATCGCAGCAGAGACTTAGCGGGTAGCCATGAGAGTATCTCAGTGATTAGTTCAAACGGAAGGTAGCAACAATCGGTCTTCGCTTTCTTCTCCATCCTCAGTATGCTTTAATTTAACAACTACACTACGAATTGTTGGTGCTTAATTGCTTATATAGGGAGATAAACAAAGATCAATCATACCTTTTACAATTCCAATTAGGATTAGGATAGTTATTGCGGTTGTATTAGGGATATTTACTTCTTACAAGATCCTTGGTCTCCAAGGTTAATTTAAACAACCTTGATTCCCAAGGATGTGTAATACACTAATACTTGGTCTTCAAGACATTATATGGTCGCCAAAAATTAAAAAATAATATTTTTTTTTTTATTTTTTTTGTTATGATAACCATTAACCAATGAGAGAAGATGTATTTCCTAAACTAAACGTTAGATATTTTAATAGATATTTAAAAAGATTTGATTGAAAAGATAAACCAAATTATTATGGGATACATGATGCATCATTTAGTAACAAAAGTATTGACCAATTTACTTTGAATAATCTCAATTGTAAAAAATTTGCACAAAAAAAAAAAAAATAAAAAAAAAAAAAATCCCTTAAAATATCCTTTTAAATTAGGAAAAATATACTTTATTAACCCTAAGTTTGACCAATTTACTTTGAATAATCTCAACTATCGATTATTTTGCAATAATCCCAACTTTCACCTTCGTTTTCTTCTATCAACCTTGAAAACCAGTTACCTGCTGAAGATGTTTTTTTTAATAAAATATAAAAATGTCACGTGTCACGAGATACATCCCTTGAAGGCTTGAACAGATTCCTCAAAATTGACATCTTGCCTCATAGCTGCAGTCTTTTTTTTTATCGGAAAACGAAGATTTATAAATTAATTAAAACCAAATCCACAAGCATAAAAAAAAAAAAAAAAAAAAAAAAAAAAAAAAAAGATCAACAACAAAAGCTACAAATTTCAACATGACAAAGCACTTGAATTAGTCTTATTCGTCCAAAAGCAAGAACAACAGCGCCTCCTACTGTAAAACAAGTCCACCAGTATCTGATATGCTCTCCCTAAGGCCTTCCTCAAATGCATCCATGGCACAATGCGTAGCCCCAGTATGGATCTTTTCTTCCTCCTCCATGCTTAAGCATGATTAGCTGAACCTAAAGTTGCCATCTTTCTTCAGGAACTCTCCTATATCAGCAAGAATTAGACCGATTCATGCGTACCAAAGCTTGCATCAGTTTCTACTATGATGTATGACCTCCAATCCTGAGTCAAGAGCAAGCGCGATCCCACCCCTTACAGCCATAACTGCCATTAATTCAGCTTAGGCAGGGTTCCTGGCTTTGATTTTCCAGGATTTACCCAGGAACCAAGTTCCATTCCCCCTTCGTATAATACATCCCGCACCTGCCATTCCTATCTTCTTTCAGGCCCTATCAGCATTCAGCTTTACACTACCTTAAGTTGGACTCTTCATCAAACGTAAACAATATGTCATTGCTGACTGCAACTAGCTCTTATGACATTGCTGACTGCAACTAGTACATTTAGCATGACAGCAGACAGGTTTTTGTGTGTGTATACTATTTTTGTAACCTAAAAATTCATTCCATGACTCCATGTAAAAAAGGAGGAAGCTAGTGTACGTGTTTAGCTAGATTAGCAAGACTAACCATTCACAAACTAAAACAACACTTGGACAGTTAAAGACTGATTAAATCTAGCAAGAAAGCGAAACATACAGATGAAAAAGAAAAGATGACATTGGTATAATAAATTCTACAGGGTTATGAGCTATTAACCAAAAAAAAAAAAAAAAAAAAAAAAAAAAAAAAAAAAAAAAAAAAAAAAAAAAAAACCTTGTATGAGATAGCTATGCCATGAAACCGATGGCAACACTTGCACACATTTCTTGAAATATACTGTTGAAGAAAAAAGTAAGTAAAGGCAAAAAAACAATTCTAAATGAATGACATCAATTTAAAGTAAACTACAATGTACAGAGAAAGGGATGCTAGAGCCAGAACGTGCTGCCAAAACAGAAGTGCTGAAGCCTCTCTAACACCATAACCCCGCAAGCTAGCAATTGCCCCGAGTAAGATGGCACTTGGAGTCGTATATTGCAAAAATAGCACAAACATGTACATTTGATCACCTGCAACTACTATGTTCAGTTTATTAGCCAGCACTACCACACCAATTCCAACCAAAGGAAGAACCAGGAGTCGTGCCACTATGATACCAATCGTTGTACGAAGTCCAAGGGTAGATTCATTTGGCCCCTCAGCAAGCATGCCTCCAAGAATAAGCATCACTGCTGGGATTGTAGCACCTGCCACAATTTGTAGACTGTCAGTAACAAATGCCAGTGGGACATCATCACCATATACAAGCTCTTTAAGATGAGGTACTATTCCGATAACTATAGCTAACAATGAAGCAATGGTAGGCGGTTGGAGTATGTGCTGAATGGGAGTTTGCTCAGCAACAACTTTGATCTTTCTAGCTACTTTATTTGGACCAGCAAAACATGTAACTGACATGGGTGTATTGCCTCTTGAGATTGCTCCGTCTCTGGAATCCATATCGGGCAAACTTGAAAGACTCGAGATGCTATTAAACACCCTTGCTATGAAAGGGGTCTTAGAATGTTCCGTTTCTTTGTCCTCAATTCCGGGCCACTCTGCTTCCACTAGAAGCGGTGCACTAACATCCTCAGTTCCCTCTTCCTGAATTTCAGCACCTTCTTGGACAATCTCATAATACTCCATTGGAGGCTCCATCATATGGTAAACAAGTGTGTACACAAAAATCACAGCAACCCATTGCGCAAACGACACATAAGCTACCCCTTTCCGATGACAATCCGGCCCAAACGGATTATCCGAGCTATGACAAACAGAACTCACAATTGCAAGAGGCAGGTTCCCTGTATTCCCAAACCCAGTCATAATTATTGTAAATCTGTTAAATTCCGGTGGCGGCCGGCATATAAGAACCACCACATATCCTAACAAACACCCAAAAAGGGTACTAACCACCACATTCACTGGTATAAACCACCATTGAATGAAATTTTCGAGAGTAATCGATTCGCCAAGATGAGTAAAAATCAAACAAGGCAAGAACAATGCAAAAACAAGCTTGCTAAGCAGCTTAAACGTTGCTCTCGGAATCATTTCGAAGCGCGAAAGCACTAATCCAATCATTGTAAGGCTTAATAGCTTCAACAATGGAACAATTGCACTCAAAACATCTTCACGTTGTGAATTCATATTACTCTCAAACAACAATCTACCAATTTGTGCCATTATTTCTCAGATCAAAATATGTTTCTGCACCATCAATAAAAAAAAATAAAAAAATAAAAAAATAAAAAAATAAAAAAAAACAAATCTAAGCATATATTATATCAACTCAGAATACACTATGACAAAGTATATCATGCAAATTCAACCACCCAGAAAAAAAAAATTAATTAAAAAAATGAAATCAAACAAATTAAATAATTCAATGAATAGCAATTTTGTCATGCAAAAGAAAAACCCAGAAAGTGAATCTGATCAAATAATTGAAAGCAATTATGAAAAGGGTATGTATTGAGACAATTAACTACTAACTAATCTTTAATTTAAAATTACAATAATTCACATAGTTGAAAATGACAGGAGTAGTAGAACAGAGAAAGAAAGATTTACATGGGATTACACGTTTTGTTGATGAGTGCTTAGAAAAGACGAGATTTGTTGTGCATTTTCCAGAATAGTGACGAAAGATTCCCAGAAGTAAGGCCAATTAGTTGAGTTTTAGAGTTATTAATCTTCTTATAGTATGGTGTATATTCCATAGTTGAAGTCAGATTCTTTAAGGAATTGAAGATGGAGTTCAAGCGGCTACATTATGGACCAAGATGGCTATAGGGGTATGGCCCACTTAAAATTTACCATTAAAAAATTTAATTAAATAAAACCGTTGATTAAATTACCTTTATCGCTTTACGTTCTTCTTGTTTGGGTTTTTCTACGTAATAATCCTTTGTATTGACTTTGTTACACCGTTTGGAAAGTCACACATTGTAACCTTCTAGTACAATTAATAACCAATTAACCATATGGTAACAAAAAGGAACAAATGAATTAGATGTGTGTTATTTCTTATACAAAGTACTCGCTATTATTTAAAGACATAGGCTTTTCCCAAGAAACAAATTATGAAATTGTTTTTATGATTCATATTATGGACTTGTCTAGTGATTGGCTATTGGTTGTCGGTTGTTTTATACACTTGTTATATCCTCTCAATCAAATATTGTTTTTATTGTTTAGTGATTGACTGATTGTCGGCTATTTTATACACTTATTTTATTCTCTCAATAAAAAAAAACAATTAATGCTCATAATAATTAATAATACTTAATTAATGCTCATAATAATTAATAATACTTGATTAATGCACATAACATTCTCTCAATCAAAATTTTAAAAATGGCTTAATTCAAGAAGGCAAAATAAAAGGAGATGGAGGGAGCATTACAATTTACAAATATAATGGTGAGAGACCCTCTGTTTTAAAGCAAAGCTCTTAGAGAGTTAGATGGAAGTTCTTAAGATATAAGGTGAAGCCTTTGATGTTGCAATAAAGAAGCAATGACTTCATTTTATAGACTTCATTTTATTTTGTTGGCTTGCTGTTTGTGGTCTTCGTGGAATGTCTCAAATTTGTAATTGATTGATGCTTGATAACTCCAAATTCAATATCTTTTTTTTGACAAAACTCCATATTCAATATCTAACTTTAATATAAATTAATGCAAAGTGATACTCTCCATTCCATAATAAATTACATGTATTTTTTTTTCTCAACTTTGACTATCAAGTATCTTAATTCATAACAGGAGCGGAACTTGTGCCAAAATGAATAATATATTGACCTGCAATAGTCAGTAAACGTGCATATAAGGGAGCAAATATGGCATAAACACTTCACAAAGTGTTGCGCTACACGGTGCAATTGATGGAGGCAGAACACATCGAATCAACACGTGTTTCTTGGAATACAGTTTGAAATCCATTCTAGTGTTTGGTTGAGTGATTTTATTGTTAGCATGGAACACCATACCACAGGGATTCTTACTGCAACCCATACCATAGAATAATATATCTCCCCTACAGGCTACAACACACTTTCAACAGATTTGATTTTCCACGAGCGCTTAGCCACAAAATCACAGACACCGGGTTATTCCAGAATATGACTGTCAATGAAAAACATGTGACATCAAATATCATCAGGAAACTCTAATTTGACCACCATTTGAGGAAAATATATTAAACACCTGAAAATAGGGAATTCGGACTAAATCTGGTAGTGATTCTGTACAACAAAACAAGCTCTATGATCAGACTCAAGCTGATCAAACATTCCATATGGACCAAATTGATCAGTTTCTTACATGTCCTTATTCTAGCTACATTGTGAAGTCGAGCACAACAGCTTGTTTACTGAGTTATCTTCTGTTAGAGCAGGCAAGACAGCCTCCTTTGGTGCCAAAGTATATCTTCTTTACTTAGAACCTGTATGAGATAAAATAATAAATGCCTTCGTATCGTATGCCAACTATAATGTACCCAACTACCCAAGACTCTACAAACCTTCCAGGATAAATGGTTGGATTTGATCTGCCTGAGGTTCAAGCTGCTCTTTTCCCTCAACTTGATCAGAAAAATGCTGATCTTCTTTATCTACGGCAGTCTCAGATGGTAGCACTTGATGCACTTGATCTGGAGAAGGAACCTCAAGCTGCTGGTACTTGGGTTTATTCTTCTCCAGCAAAAGGTAAGTTGTGCAATACCAAAATAACAATATCCTGCCTTGCGCTGCCACAGTCTCTCTAATTTGACTGCCAGCAAATGAAAGTCGTTCCAGTGCCTGCAGATTGATCTCAAAATAAGAAAGGTACAACTGAAGCCAAAACTCCAAAGCTACCAGAACATATATCATTTTGTACAAACAAATTTTCGACAACAAATCACGACAAGAGAGCCATAACATATTAATAATCTAAATAACTGACAGCAATAATTTCCCCTCTGCACACATATAAACTGATAACATGAGAGCCAGACCAAGGATGGCTCCTGTCCCAACAAGAACTTGCAAAACTAATCTTTCTCATTATTTTCCATGTCAAAATATAACTGATAACATAAGATGCAGGACAAATCTTCCACTTATTTTGCAGACAAAACATCTCTTAGAGATAGTACAATTCTAACATCTTAAATACCAAAACATCCAAGCCGCTAAATTACTTGGAATAGTTTAGAGAATAAACTAATGGTTAATACAATTAAATGGTTAGGATCATAAAATCATATATGAAGGTTTTTCTTCCGAAATGTAGTACAGTGTAGAGTGTACAATTACATAATGGCTATGTTTATTTCTTTGCTTTACTTTTTTGGCAATATTTTCCTCACATTTTTGGACAGTGATTTGCTTGAGAGACAACAAAGGAGTACAATCAACTGTCTCATTAAGTCATTATCAAAATAATCTGCAACTTGGATTTCAGGTCGCTGTAGCCTGAACCTATTGGTGTGGAGCATGCAAACACATCAAAAATTACGCACTGCATGCTTCATTATTATGTTTTAGCCGCTTTGCATTTTTACAAGGTATGATGTTATATTCTTCTGTATACTTGAAGTTAACAGTGAAAATTCTATGCAATGTTCCCCTATTAAATGTTAACACTCATGATAGAATTTGCCATTAACTTAACATACAATCACACTCACAACAACCATGGTGCTTAAAAACGTCATTTTAGATCATGTGTCGTAGTCAACTACTTGATACTCCCTCCCCCCAGTTGGAACACATACTCCCAAGTCTCAACTGTATGGAATACAACCCTGAACAAAAGACCTGACACGTATAATGAATTTTCTCTAAGCATGGCAACCTAGCTGATCACTAGTCTGTCAAGCAGCTCAGCTAGAAAGAATCATCTCACCCATACACGTGTAGGGCATCAGATGATCGCGCACCTGCAACAGAGTACATCTATAAATACCCCCTACTTACTCCCATGGAGAGATTCCTGACACATTGTACTTTACTCACTTCTCTCTAAACACATGCTCTCTCTATATATACAAACTCTCATACTTGAAAAATGACTTAGGTATTGGAGGAGGTTTCCTTGGTTAAAACCCCAAGGGTAGCTGACGTTTACTATTCTTGACACGGCACAAGCATGAACACCAACTAGTCCACAACAGAGAGACAAAGTAGAAAGTACTATTCTAGTTAACCATTCTCCATCCTACATACTTCCACATTTAAAAAATATATAAAAAAAAAAAATTTTAAAAAATAGGGTGTTTTTGTTCTAACCACCATTTCTTTACAAAAAAAATACCATCTTATCCCCTTGCTCCACAATTTATCCACCATTTCTTTACAGCTACACCACCTTTTCCTTACTTTCCTGGTTTGCAAAAGTGTAATTAGTGGGTAGAACCCCGCGCCCCCCCCCCCCCCCAACTCCCCCTCCAAAAAAAATGAATTGTTTATTTATTTTTGATGAAAGAAAAACATGAAGAGTTTACTTAAGAGTTAAGAAGCTCTAGCATTTAAGTTTCATTAACACCAAACCTCCAAGACATCCATGAACTAGCATAACATCTGAACCATTTTGCTCAGATTGCAGTTTAATTTCACTGATTTAGTTGATTGTTCACTAAGTGTCACAAAAATAGATGAAAACAACATAATGACCATACAGCAATCTTTTCCTGACCCTATTGAATCAGTTGGAGGAGGTTAATTCTACTCATACGAATTAGAATTTATGATTTGCAACCAAAATGTGAATTGAGTTCACAGCTTTGACTGATGATAATATATGTAGGAACAGGTGTGCTGCAATGTGTATATGTATCCAGACGATGAGAAGTCTGAAGTTGATATGTCACTTAACTCTTATGTTGTGGGATGCTAATGCAAACAGAGATGTGGAAGGACAAGAAACTTGAAATCACAAACTTTGAGATACTAGTAGAAACAAGGAAATGTCAACCGCAAAACCATAACTTTTCATCTCATATTAGTATGAAGTTTAACAGCAGATCTTCCTTTACTAGCAAGGAATTTCATTTTTTCTGTTTTTCACCACCAACAAATAGCCTTGATTTTCAGAAAATCTCAAAGAGGGGTGGGGGTGGGGTCTGTACTCTGTATAGTCAATACCTGTTCTCCAGTTTGTAGATCAAATGGATGCTGATGCTCGAATTGCAGGCCTTTAAATTCATTGATACACAGTCCTTGAAAAGCCCTACAAATAAAAAAACATATTCGGAAGTGGACAAAAGCAATGCAAAAATTATGATTTTTCAAGAAACTGTTTCAGATTTCCCTGCCTAAAGGCTAAACCTAAAGATTTATTAGAGACAGGAGGGGTGGTGCAATTACCATCGTATCAGAGACACGCGAGGAATCCAGCGGAATATAATAGGCGTGTTATCTGCATTAACATAGTATCCCCCGAAGACTATGAAGACAGTCATAAGAGATGGCCCAACAGCCATAGCAGCTTCAGTGGAAGGAACCATGGCTCCCACAGTTAGACCCATAGCAGATGCAGCGAAAGACTCTACGGTTACAATTCCACAGAACTTACCAAACCTGCAGGTCACAAATACAGAGTAAGCATGTAGGGTAAGAAGTGTACTAAAGCAAATATCACTCAACATTTTTCTGAAATAATACTGAGGGGACTAAAAACAGTACTCTGTGTGAGACAACAATAAAGTACACTTACATGGAGTGTAATGTAATTGAAATTGTAAAATAATGCCCAATACAAAGTGAAAGTTCTAAATCATAAATCTCTATACCATTAGAAAAACCAAATAAAGTGCATACACAGACATCCAAAGTGAGACAAGCACCTGAAAATTAATCTTACGAGTCTACGACACTTGAGTTGCCAAAGACAATTTGGAAAATCACAGAAAGTAACCTCTCGGGTTGATAAGGGGAGAAAGAAAAAGGATATAGGAAGCCACAAATAGCAGAAGAGCAATAAACACCTCCTCTCCCACTACTCTAAAGCCTCTTGTTCAGTCAATCACCCAGTCCTGAGCATTTATGTTATTCAAGCTTGCCAAAAATGCTGAACATGAATATGGTTTATTCCAAATATACATCTACCTTTCCAAGGTTTCTAAGGTTTCTGCTATTTTTGAAGCACCAAACCCATGTTGCACACGGGTAGGCATCATATAATAAGAGTATAACATGGGTACAGAAAGGAAAAGAATGATCCAAGTAATTCACTAATATACATAAAAAAAATAAATAAATAAAAACACACACACACACACACACACAAGCACTCAGGATGTCCACTGCCAAAGCAAACATAAAAGACAGAGGGTGCCTGGTTCCCTGAGTCCTTAGCATCAAAACAATTCTAGATTGCCTAGTACAAAATTTTGAAAACCAGTGGTAGTAAGAAACCCCTTAACCCATTTCCCCTTTAAATATTGCTCATCACGGAGTAGAGCTAGTGAATTCTTTCTCACCCCCAAATTTGTTTACATGATCTTCAAAAAACTTTACCTGGACAAAGTGGGATGCAGGCGTGCCATAGGATATAGAATGGAACCAAACAACAACGGGAATGTGGCTCCAACAGGTATTTCAGCCAGCAGCTTAGACAGTAAGTATGGACCCAATGAATAAGATCCTTTTGCTCGTTCCCTATCTACAATGGCACGCTCCTTCGGGAAAACACCCACAGTCTTCGTCAAAGCAGCCATTGCAGTATTTATAGCAGCAACCTAGCAGCAGCAAAATATATACAAGATCAGGGAAAAAACAGACAAATACAACCCATTTACACAAACTGACAGATAAACATCCATGCTTTCACAGGTACATTTTGGAGATTAAATATGCATACACAGCTACAACATTACCCCAAAGCCTCTAATGAGGCTCATGCCTAGGCAAGATAAGCAAGGTCAAGCATAAGAAGCCTTGCATGTACAATTGCAAAGAGGCTCCTACAGCTTTACCCCCACATTGTAAAGAGGGTATTATTAGACCCTAGATCCAAAAGGCAGCTACTAGCACACACAAAATAGCCACAAGTGAGGCATTTGATCGGTAATTTAAAATTGAAAATTCACCCATTTAAAACATTAATAACTTTCTCAACAACGATGGAAAAATTTCCTAAAAGGATACACATGTTAGTACCTAGCAGAGGGGCCCAGGATACAGCCACAAAAAGAAACCCTGTGGTACAAAAGCCTTCTCCCGAAATTTCATACATTTGAGTTCAAATGGAAAATACCAAGCTATATCCACAAACATTCACAGAACACATAATGTTCATTCCAAAAAAAAAAAAAAAAAAAAAAAAAAAAAAAATGTACATTAAGCCTGCTTCAAAAATCAAGTGACAATATAACTTATGATTGATGTAAGAGAGCAATAAATAATTTGCCCACACTCTTTAAATCCACAATCAATTATCTCAGCTTTTGCAAAAACAAAAGAAAACATAAAATTGAAAATTTGTCACATGATTACATTTTCTACATGTTCTAGACTTTTTCTTACTAGCACAAGGAACCAAAAATTAATCACCAAACTTACAACAAGAAAAGGTAGGCACAACAGAAGCTGGTTTGGAAATCGACAGATAATTAATAGCATAATACTACTGAGCTTGTGTGGCAGGTTTGCTAGTATCTGGCTAATCAATACTGTTGAAGCAAATGTAGGACGTTTTGTTATGAAAAGATTTCTGACTTAGTTTCATAACACGCGTTTAAATTCACATCACAACATAATTTAAGGTCAGTGTATAAATGCATCAGCCATTATAATAAGCATTTCTTGTATGGCAACTACCAAAGTCCAAAACTCACTTTAGACTCACACAATAATCACTAAATATGTATAGGACAGATCTTAAACTCACAAAATAAATAACAAATGTGTTCGAAACTCCAAAGTACATTTAATAATCCCTCTGTAATTTTTATAGTTTATTTTTATTTTTTTTACAATTCTCATTTTACACTTGTTAATGCATTATTTCAAGGTAAAATTGGCCTCAATAGCAGCAACTATAGGTTGGGTGCAGAGAATAGCACAACCTTAATCAGGTGCACTCTAAATCACAAACTATTAAGTTTGGTATCCTCTTAACAATTGGTGATAGTAAGAGTAAGCCAGTAACTCCTCTTAGCTTATAAGGTGGTCTTTTTTCTCTCTTTTTTTAAGGGACAGCTCACATGTGTACAACAATGGGGTGTCAACATAACTAAAAGCCTTCATACCAGATTAGTTAGCACTTGACTCAATGAGGATTCAGGATTATACAATCATCTCAATTCTTACCGCCAAAAGGCAAGAGTGCACTGTGCATGCCAAACCCCCAAAAATACAGACTGTGACACTTCACTATTGTTTCAACATCCCTCATGGCCTCATTAACATACCTTACAATCTTACATTATTCTACCAACAATCCCCTCCTTTTTCCCTAGGTCCATGGAAACTCCTTCCCAGCCACTACATGCTAATCCAAGCCAAATAACTCGTGAAGTACAAATTTTACCTGCAGCAGCCCCATTCTGTCCTGAATAGATGTCTGAGATCTTCCCATCCTCCAAAAGACTGAACCAAATATTATTGCTGATGCAATTGACATTCTGGCCCGTACCTTATTTGTTGGCCCATCTCGAGATGCCTGATCAAGCAAAACTTAAAAGATCAGGAGAACTGACAAAAAACACAGATCAAGATACAAAACTTACAACAGCAAATTAAACTGATGGAATCTCTCAGGAGACAAATGTGTATCACACAAGCCACGTCAATAGCAGCAATTAAAGATATATAATAGCAGCATCCAGAAACCAGAGACACGAATTAAACAAGAAGATTAGTTTCTAGCAGAAATAATTCTGTGACTTTGTTTACAAGAGATAAGTGGGACAACAAAAGATTAGAACTTCAACTTAAAGACATAATGTACCATTCCCTGGACCCATTCAGTAAAGAACAATACATCACCTCTTCAATCAAAACATTCGAGCCACAGATCATGTATTCACATTGCTGTAATACTAAAATATAGAAGAATTAACTCATTTCTGAGCACTTCATAAAAAATATTCATACAAAGATGGAAATTATGCGATCAGATACCTGCATCCATGCACGTCTAAAAAGCAAGAAGAATTCCCTCCACCAATTCCCTTTCTTAGCAGAAGCATTTATACCAAACCTCATTCTTTTTATGAATTTCTCTTCACTGGTAAGTGGAGTTGCATAAATAACAGAGGAAGTTTGTTGTAAAAATGCCTCAACAAGACCATCGATCCTTTTTTGAGAGCTGTTAATACTTTCAGATGAACTATAATCAATAGATATGAGATCAGCCAAAAATTCAGCAGGATTGACATGATCTGGGCAAGGGTACCTGTTCGGTGCACCCACAGATTAGGCAACATACCAAAGCTTACACCATTAAAAACCAAATATTAAGTGGCGTTAGAACAACAGATAGTGTGAGGTTTAGCAACCAACCCAAGATTTGCAAAGTATGACAATGGTTCATCCCTAGCAAGACCAGCATAAATAAGAGAACCATCTGTCAGCAAGATAATGTCGTCGAATTTGTAATAAATCGATCCTCTGGGCTGGTGTATTGAGCAGATCACAGTATGACCATCTTGTGCAAGTTGACTGAGCGTTTCCATTACCTTTTCTGCCTGGAAGGCATCAAGCCCTGAAAAAGTAACAAAAGCCAGCTAGATTAACGAGGCAATCAAACAGATCTAACAAATCTAAAGCAAATTTAATTTGGAGTTAAAAGGATTATAATAGAGATATACAATTATACATATGTGACTATGTGAGCATGTTAACTAAACCTCTGCTACAATCTCAAATGCATAGGGACTATTGAAGAGACTGATGAAAAGGTCTGGGAGGGTAGGTGTAAGCCCTTGTATCTTACAAAAACATTATTAGTAATGGGAGGGTAGGTAATTTTAGACAAGCAACCAAATGCAGCTTTCCTAATAGTTATTTATTGACCCCACTCACGGTAACACTTCTGAGATACAATGAAGATCAACTAAACTTGGTCTTTCTTACAAGGTTGCTCTAACAATGGTTTGTGTATATGTAATCCCTACTATGTTAAATGAAACTTTAATTAGCATATTTTTATGTTCTTTCACAAATGAAGTGCTCTATATTAGAGAACAAAAACATACTTGAAAAAACATGTTTTTCCGTAAGTTGTCATGATAACATCAGTTCAAAAGATCTACGCTAGGTCACACCTAGCTAATACAATAGGTTTTTTTTTTTTGGCTAGTTTGTAGAAAAAAATTATCTTTTCAAAAAAAATCTCCCACCAAATTTCAAGAACTTCTAGAGTTTTATTCTTTTCCACCAAATTTCAAGCACTTCTACAGTTTTACACTTTTAAGCACAAGCGAACACGGACGCAATACAATCTTCAATGCATAATTCTTTATCCTTATTTGATTCTCTAAGCTCTAACTTAAATCTACATCATTAAACTACACAACTTCAAATGATGTAAATCTTTGTGAAATCCTCATAAGAACATATAATACATAAATATTCCAACACTGAACAGGGAAGAGAGTGCCTTCAGTGAAATAGGGTAATTTAATAAACACAGATGGACCTTTGGATCAAAACCCCTTATGAAAAAGAAAATTTTAATTCTGGACAGGGCAAAAATAATATAGACCATCTAGGAATTTGGCCATCAATCCAAAAATATGAACCCAGAGACTTGACACTGACAAGAGTTCAAAATAGCTATGAGTTCAGGACGCCATGTTATGAAACAATATCTCTGTTTATCTTCTCACTATCTAAAAAATAATCATTGACAGACCTACTTTGATCATACGGTACTACACAGAGCTTGGTACAGTAAATCACCACAATAATATTCAGATAATCCAGTTACCAAATTAAACTAGGTTTTGCAATACAAATTTGTCGCATGGTTTTTAATCACGCAACTGTGCAGTACAAATTTCATACAGAACGGCATGATTATATAAATTACATGGGGATTTGGAAGTTGGAATTTTATGGGAATTGGAATAAACCAGCTTTGTTTTAATGATCTGAAGATTAAATAAACCCCAAGGCTTATGTTAACATAATCTGATAATCTTTACCACTGGCTTTTGAAAATGTTTAGAGTGATACTATGTAGCAGTGTCCATGGAACAAAATATATGCATAATTGATTAGAAACAGCATATCAGGTAAAATGAAATGTATATTACACTGACAGACCTGTATTAAGATTCAGGTCAATGAAATATAATGCAAAGACTATATCATACTGAAAAGGGAAGACCTTCAAGATTGCATAAAGGAGAAGCATGCATACCAGTCGTTGGTTCATCTGCAAATATGACTGAAGGACTTGCAATTAGTTCACATGCCAAAGACAAACGTTTCTTTTCACCACCACTAATTCCACGCACCTTTGCATCACCAACAATTGAATCTGCACAACTGACCTTTGGGAATAGTTCAATACAGAAAACAAATTTTCAGCAAGGGCTCTTCATATCAAGTAACAAGAAATAAAAGGTGAACACATAATTTTCTTCCAAAATTCTTATACAAATTTCAGTTGGAGGATTCAACAAATTATCAATAGCATCAGTCTTACCAAGCCCAATTTAGACAAGAGATCATTCACATAAGCATCCCTTGCTTCTGCTGAAGACATCTGTGGAAGCTGTAATTCTGCAGCAAGAGAGAGTATTTCACGGACAGTCATTTGCGAGAAAAAGAGGTCCTCCTGCCTAACATAAGCAAACCTAGAACAGCAAAAACACCATTAAATGAAGTTAAGCAGGAAACAAAAACCCCATGATCAAATTTTAAAAGGACTAGCCCCATAAAAGGCGGTCATACTTGTAAGATTTCTTTGACTTTTGCTGTCCATTGACCTCCAATAAACCTGATAAACTTAATCTTGGTGAAGCTGCAAGTTGACCAGCTAAAACATTAAGTAATGTTGTCTTCCCTGAACCTGATGGCCCCATTATTGCTAGCAACCTTCCAGGTTTAGCTTCCCCACTAACATCTTTCAGCAGGAATCTTACCTACACAATAAATCAGGCTATCAAGCTAGAAAATTTTATTATGAGTCCATAAGATCTAATTGCCCCGTGATGCCCATGGCCTTTTGATATCCAAGAAAACAAAAACTTCATGCAAAAGAAGCAAATTTAACAAAAATTGCCAAAATATTCAGCACCCACGAAAGAATACATTGAGTTCTTCATAATATATCATGATATAAAAATAATTTTTTTTTAAAAAAAACCTTCCCCAATAATCAGGGTGTAACAAAGCACTTCTTCCCTAGGAAGTTCAACAAGAGAAAAGGCACCCACCACCAGCAATTGCATATTCAATCATTTAAAGAAGAAAAACCAAGTTGAAGTAATCCCTTAGCTCTAACACAACATAAGCCTTTTACTAAATTTAGTCCATTTTTAGTCATCTAGACTAGATGGCACAACAATTATTCACATTTACTTCCCTTACCCTGTATAACAGTAAAACTACTATGAGAATACAGCTAACTGAGGCTTAGGCTTCATATTCAAGAGTCTGCTGACTAGTCTAATCACAATATATGCTATGAGTTCTTGTTAAATACGGGTTAGAGCCGCACCCGTCACGGGAGAGAGTGCAAGTCCACCACTTTACATGACTAAGGAGGTTCCACCTCAAAACCATATGGTAATGAGGGGAGTAGTCCCTTAGCCTTATATAGTGATGGTAACTCTTGAATTCTTTCAATGTGGGATTCCATTATCGCTACACTCCCCCTATTGTCTTTTTAGCGTGGGACAAGAGAGTGCTCACATGAGAGTTGTTCATGGGCTCAACAGTTCTCTATATCTCTCTGCTTGTCACATGTGCCCCTCTTTTTAGCTCTCTAACTCTCTTCTCTACACATGAGCTCCTTACAAAATGTGCATCTTCTACACGTTGCATCAATAAAAACAAATGGAGGGAGTATTCCAACTCATAAGTTATGCAAGTGTTTCAAGTTCTCAATGTTAGAGCTTGCAGCAGAAATGAGGAGCTAAGTTTCTGCTGCGGGCTCTAACACTTAACTTCATCAATACCATTATCATTGTTAATAGTCTTAATACTGTAACTTCATCAATACCATTATCATTGTTTATTACTGCAACTATTATTTGCTTTTACCTTTCCAAGTTCAAATCCTTGCTTCACTATTTTAATTTTTGCCGCTTTTGCCAAAATGGTATAGGGAAAAGTTTATGCCAAAAGCTTACATAATCAATCAATCAAAGCCTTAATCCCATAAGTGGGGTCGGCTACATGAACCAAAAATGATTATTCCGTATAGTCATCCATAGACGGGGTTTGACAAAATTAGTGTAAAGAAATAAACTAAAACAAAAGGATTACAAAACTTTCAAGGGTAGTAATGTACTGTATCATACTACAGCATCAGCAAAATTCAATAAAAACAAACAATCAACAAATCACAAAAACAATCATTCAAACCAAATCTTAAACAAAAACTCATAAAAGATGGCAAAATTCAGTGAAACTAACCGATTTAGACTTGTTATCAGAGAGTGAACAAGTGATATTATTCCAACGAATAGTAACCGGAAAAACTTTTCCATCAAACGAAGACTCATTAGAATCATCAAATTCATTCTCGTCGCCGTCAAATTCATTCTCCGGCAACAACGCAGGATCAGGGCCGGAAAACAAACGAACGAAGAGAGCGGCGGCGACGGCAATCAGGATTTGGCCGACGCCATTTCCGCCGATTTTTCCGACCATTTCCCCTACTTTTTTCCCGCCGATTTTCACCATTTTTTTCTCTCCTCTGGTTATGCTGCAACTGCAAGTAGTGAGTGTGAGAGTGAGGTGAGAGTGGCGTTATTGATAAGAGTAATACGACGTCGTATGGGATTTGGATGGTGTGTGAATTTGTCTTGTTTGTTTTGCTACAAATCAAGAAGGGCTAACAGGCTAAAAGACTTAACACGTGTTCGATTCGAGGATAAGATTTTTGGCCTTTTGGGTGTTTTTTTTTTTGGGATTTTTGTTCATGGTTGTATTTATGTTTGCGTTTGTGTTTGTGTTTGTGTTTGTGTTTGCGTTTGTCAAATTTGTCACGTACTTGATGTATGTAAAACAGTAAAAGAGTGTATGAAATTTTTGAAACACCCAACACCCAGATTAAGGACATGTTCTCTTTAAGTTATTTTAGGTATTCATTACTTATTTCTTAATAAATTCAGATCAGATTAGACCTGAAACATTCAAATTAGACCAGATCAGAACTTTTAATTATCATTTACTTATTGCTAAATATCGTTAATTACGTATTGCAAAAAATTATGAAAATTACATATTTGAAAAGTTCACAATAAGACGAATCTAACAAGATCCATTTTGAGATGTTTTTCTTTATAGATTAATATTTAAATGCGGTCAAAATTTAGTCAAATTATTAAAGCAGACCAGATCAGATAATAAAAATTCAGATCAGACCTTATGAAAATCAGACTGAATCTACTTGTTCCAGATGAAGAGAACAAGTCCTAAATAAGTGTTGACCACACTTAATAAAGGGCAATTAATTAAAATTCTAATAACATTCTTGTGAATATGTCTTGGTACTATTTCTTGTCTTTTTAGACAGTTAGATTAAATGGATAAAAATATACCCTGTGAGTGAAGGAAATAGACGTTGTTAAAGGGGACTTAACTATCTTCTTCCAAATTTTCATCCAAAATGGTCCGTTCCGGAATCAATTATTCTCACATAACAATGAATTCAATGCTTACAAATTCAATTTTAATACTTCCTTCGTTTTTTTAGTTGTTTCCTCCTATACAAATTCAATTTTAAATATATGTTCGACCATTAGAAACCCATTGGATAAGATGAAATCCATATTGTTGCCACCTCCTACTACACCACCATCACCTCCGCTGCAAGAATTATTGACTCTTTCTACCAAAATTTCTTCGAATTTCTACAAAAAAAAGTTGTATTTGCTCCTATTTTAATTTGGTTGATCCATGCTCACTCTCAATTTTCTTTATAAATTTGGGTACCATTTCTTCACCTTCTCCTCTTGCTTTGTTATCGGATCCATAGAAAACCTTAAGAAACATAGAAAAATTAATGGATGGTTATCCCTAGCACTGTCAAAACGGTTTGACAGTTCGGTTTCGGTTCGGTTTGAAATCGGTTCGGTATTTAATCGGGTCGGTTTGGAATCGGTTTAATTGTCTCACGGGTCGGTTTTGGTTCGGTTTAAATAGTTATCGGTTCGATTCGGTGTCGGTTTATTCTTAAGCGGTTTTAATTCGGTTTGGGTTGTAAACAGTTCGGGTAGTAAACGGTTTGGTGCAGACGGGTTGCGGTTTGTTAACGGTGCGGTGTAAACGGTTTTTATCCCGGTTCAAACAGTTTCGGGTTGGAAACGGTTTTGGGTAAGAAACAGTTCGGTTCTTTTTTGGTTCAATTTATAACTGGTTCGGTTCTTTTTCGGTTCAGTTTTTAACTGGTTCGGTTCTTTTTCAGTTCAGTTTATAACTGGTTCGGTTCTTCGATTGTTTAACCACTTTAACGTTATTCATATCGGTTCCATTTCAAGTTTACTAAATTATAGTTGAATCTGAATTAAAACATAGCCTAATAGTATATTCATGTCACTAGCACACTCCCATCTTTATTTCATTATTACTCACAGAATTAATGTAATCATATGCTTAATAGTCTCTGTGAATTAATTTTATTTATTACGCCTTCAGCCAAGCCTTGGTACTTAATATTACAAGCTTTTTTTTTCATTTGGTTTCATCACCTCAAATGTATACATGACTAGAGGCAGTAATGTTGCTAATAGTTTGAGGCAGGGCCTGAGCCTGCTTGTTTTGCTCTTGTTTGTGAACACTGATTATCCTTAAGACCTTAATGAATGATTTGCCTTGCTATTTTAAATAAAATATTCTAAGATTGCTAATATTTAATCCATTTAATTATATCCCCGTCAAAAAAAAAATCCATTTAATTATATAAAAAAGTTTGTAAACGGTTCGATTTAGAAGCGGTTTGGTTCATAAACGGTTTGGTTTATAACCAGTTCGGTTTATAATCAGTTCGGTTTTTAAATGGTTCGGTGAAAACGGATAGCAGTTTGCTAACGGTTCGGTGTAAGCGGTTTTTTTGCCAGTATAAACGGTTTCGGGTTGGAACCGGTTTCGGGTTAGATACGGTTCGGTTCTTTTTCGGTTCGATTTTCTTTCAGTTCGGTTCTTTTTCGGTTCGGTTTGTTAACGGGTTCGGTTCTTATACGGTTTAACATTATTTGGGTTGATTCGGTTTCGGGTTTACTAAAATACGGTTCGGGTCGGTTTTCGGTTTCAAAAAAATCGGTTTTTAATCGGTTCGGTTCTCATTTAGGTCGGTCGGTTTCGGGCAGTTAAACGGTTTCGGTTTGAAATTTGACACCACTAGTTATCCCTAATAAGGTAGGCATTTTTTGTGGGAATATTGATAAATGTCAATAACAAAATAGCTTCTGAAAATCAACAATGGAGGATGGTTTATCTTCAGAACTTTAACAATGGAGGAAAAGGAAATAATAGAGAAAATGTTAGAGTTTGAAGGAATTGTGTTGTGAAGTTAACAGAGAAACTAACCTCTTTGTCATCACCAAAATCAAATGAAAATGAAACACATTCGAACAATGCTAAATGAATCAAATGAAAAGTGAAACCAATTTGAACAAAAATAATTGAATCTCTATTTTAAATTTTAATACCACAAAAATGATTTTTAACACTACAAAAAAAAATTAATAAATAAATAAAAAATATTTTAACACTACAAAAAACCTCAAAATTTTGCTTTTACCACCACATCTCTAATCTATAATATTATTAAAACTCAAGGGATTAACATGTTGATGACATGTGTCATGCTTTGTCATCATAACATTTATGACATAGAGCCACATAGATGATGACATGATAACACATTAGTATTTGGATTAAATTTGAACTATTACAACCCTTGAAATTCCCAATTTTTTATTACCACTATTCCGCAATTAATGTCACTTTATTACTTAATTAACATTCATACATGAGTTGTAACTTTTTATTAAGCATTATATATAATTCCCTACTTAATTATAAAACAAATACTACTGCAATTCTCTAACATTTTTTATTTTATTATTTAAATTTAAGGTATTGGTTCCAAAATATTATTTAAACTCAAGGTAATATTTTCATTTTGTACTTAAACATAACCCGGGGCATCGCCCGGGCCCCAAACTAGTTTAAGGATGAAATCTGTTAAGTGGGGCTACAATGCCACGTGCCTTCATACAGTTGGCTAAAAAAATAAAAGAAAAAAAAAACAGAAAAAATAATTATTAAAACCCTAGCCACCCAAACACCACCACAGACACCGTTTCCCCCACCTGACCAGCATAGCCCCAGCCCCCGGTCCTATCTCCGGCGAAACCCTTCCCCAAGCCGACACCGAAAACCTCCCCCTGACCCTATTCCACAACCCTAGCCTGACCGACACACCTACAACCCACCCAAAACGACCACCTTTTCCCTAAAAGCGGCCACGAATGGTTGAAATCGGCCGTTTTAGGGTCGAAATCGACCACTCAGCCCCAAAACCGGTCGTTTTCGACCGTTGGTGGCCTATTTCATGACCGTTTTTAGGTAGGGCGACCATTTTAGGGTTACATTGGGTGTTGATCTAGCTGCGGGAGGTGGTTCCCGATGCGCGTAAGTAATAAGGTTGGGGCGGGGGCTGCGCAGGTGGCGTGAGAAGAGATTCCCGGTGGTTGAGGGTATCGGTGGTGGTCAGGTATTGGTGGTGGTGGTTGGGTGGCTGTATTAGTCTTAGGGGTGTTTTTAAAAAAAAAAAACTTTTTTTTCAGTCAACAAAGTTGTGACACGTGTACTTTATGGGGCCCACTTAGCGGATTTCATCCAAAAGATCTGTTAAATGGTGGTAATATCCAATTTTGTGATTTTTTTTTTTGTGGTGTTAAAATAAAAGTTTTTTATTTTGTAGTGTAAAAAACTATTTTTGTGTTTTTTTGTGGTGTTAAAATCTAAAATTTCCTAATTGAATTAAACTAAATTGAAAAGCTTTCAAGTAAACCAAATTGAATCATATTTTATTTAGTGAAATGGATTCAAAAAAAGCTAGTTAGATTAAATTTAATCTAAAGTAATTAAACGAATTCAATAAAAGCATGGAAGCAAGGTCAAATTCATGGGAAACAATATATTTTTTCTTTCTAATAATTAATCAAGTAATATTATATGATTATAATATAACAATAATTAAACTATGGCGAAAATCAATATTACAAGGCCTAGGTTATATGCATGTTCACCAATATTACGGGATAAAACACAATAATTAACAATCAACGATGCTATTAACCAAACTTATAGGCTCTATTATATTTATATAGTGAAATTAGCATTAGTAATATTAAGTTTATATAGTGAAATTATCTAATATTGCAATAATAATTCAATGAAACTTCTCCAATTCTAACTTAATAGAATTAAATCAATCAATAATAGGGAATTAACATGCATAGTCAACAATTAACAATTCATAAAACATCCCTTCATATTATTCATGCATGGATCCCCATGAACCCTAGAATCAAACTACACATAATTGATCTGAAACTAGACTAATTAATCAAATTAAAGCAATTAGGTTAAACATCATGAAATCAATAACAAGAAACTAAAACAATTGAAAGTAAAGAATTAACTGAAACTAACGAAATATGGACTTGTGAACTCAACGAAAGCTTGAATGTAAACAAGAGTATGAAAGTGCTCCAAAAACTTAAAAATGTAATTTGAGATAAGCTAAAAACGTGCTTAGAAAATAACCTAATTAGGTATTTTTACTATCCCGAAAACAAACAATGTCAGCTAACTCTAATCTACAAGTTAAGCTAAAAAAACCATCGCGCCTGATCGGGCCTAAGTGCATTTTTCGGTCTTCACAGAGTTATGGTCGCTTGATCG